GATACATTCCACCAATACATAGTTTATTGAGAATTTTTAGCATGAAGGGGTGTTGAGTTTTATCGAAGGCCTTTTCTGCATCTATTGAGATAATCATGTGGTTTTTGTCATTGGTTCTGTTGATGTGATAGATTACATTTATTAATTTGCATATGTTGAACAAGTCTTGCATTCTGGGGATAAAGCTGATTTGATATTGGAGGGTATGCTTTTTGATGTCTGCTGTATTTAGTTTGCCAGTATTTTATTGAGGATTTTTGCATCGATGTTCATCAAGGATATTGGCCTGAAATTTTCTTTTTTTGTTGTGTCTCTGCCAGGTTTTGGTATCAGGATGACGCTGGCCTCATAAAATGAGTTAGGGAGGATTTCCTCTTTTTCTATTGTTTGGAATACTTCTAGAAGGAATGGTATCAGCTCCTCTTTGTACCTCTGGTAGAATTCAGCTGTGAATCCGTCTGGTCCTGAACTTTTTTTGGTTGGTAGGCTATTAATTGCTGCCTCAATTTCAGAACTTGTTATTGGTCTATTCAGGGATTCAACTTCTTCCTGATTTAGTCTTGGGGAGGGGGTGTCTGTGACCAAGAATTTATCCATTTCTTCTTGATTTTCTAGTTTATTTGCATAGAGGTGTTCATAGTATTCTCCAATGGTAGTTTGTATTTCTGTGGGATCGGTGGTGATATTCCCTTTATCATTTTTTATTGTGTTTATTTGATTCTTCTCTCTTTTATTCTTTTTTAGTCTGGCTACCTATCTATTTTGTTGATCTTTTCAAAAAACCAGCTCCTGGATTCATTGATTTTTTTTTTTTTTTTGGAAGGGTTTTTCATGTCTCTGTCTCCTTCAGTTCTGCTCTTAGTTATTTCTTCTCTTCTGCTAGCTTTTGAATTTGTTTGTTCTTGCTTCTCTAGTTCTTTTAATTATGATGTTAGGGTGTCAATTTTAGATCTTTCCTGCTTTCTCTTGTAAGCACTTAGTGCTGTAAAGTTCCCTCTAGATACTGCTTTAAATGTGTCCCAGAGATTCTGGTACATTGTGTCTTTGTTCTCATTGGTTTCAAAGAACTTCTTTATTTCTGACTTCAATTCAGTATTTACCCAGTAGTCATTCAGGAGCAGGTTGTTCAGTTTCCATGTAGCTTTGCGGTTTTGAGTGAGTTTCTTAATCCAGAGTTCTAATTTGATTGCACTGTGGTCTGAGAGACCGTTATGATTTCCCATTCTTTTGCATTTTGAGGCATATTTTATTTCCAATTATGTGGTCAGTTTTAGAATAAGTGTGATGTGGTACTGAGAAGAATGTATATTCTGCTGATTTGTGGTGGAGAGTTCTGTAGACGTCTGTTAGGTCCACTTGGTCCAGAGCCGAGTTCAAGTCCTGAATATCCTTGTTAATTTTCTGTCTCGCTGATCTGTCTAATATTGACAGTGGGGTGTTAACGTCTCCCACTATTATTGTGTGGGAGTCTAAGTCTCTCCGTAGGTCTCTAAGAACTTGCTTTATGAATCTGGGTGCTCCTGTATTGGGTCCATATATATTTAGGATAGTTAGCTCTTCTTGTCACATTGATCCCTTTATGTAATACCCATATTTATCTCTTTTGATCTTTGTTGGTTTAAAGTCTGTTTTATCAGAGATTAGGATTGCAAACCCTGCCTTTTTTTTTTTTCTTTCCATTTGCTTGGTAAATATTCCTCCCTCCCTTTATTTTGAGCCTATGTGTGTCTTTGCATGTGATATGGGTCTCCTGAATACAGCACACTGATGATGGGTCCTGACTCTATCCAAGTTGCCAGTCTGTGCCTTTAAACTGGGGTCTTTAATCCATTTACATTTAAGGTTAATATTTTATGTGTGAATTTGATCATGTCATTATGATGCTAGCTGGTTATTTTGCCCATTAGTTGATAAAGTTTCTTCATAGTGTTGATGGTCTTCACAATTTGGTACGTTTTTGCAATGGCTGGTACCAGTTGTTCCATTCCATGTTCAGTGCTTCCTTCAGGAGCTCTTGTAAGGCAGGCCTAGTGGTGACAAAACCTCTCAGCATTTGCTTGTCTGTAAAGGATTTTATTTTCCCTTAACTTATGAAACTTATCAATTTCTTCTTGATTTTCTAGTTTATTTGCGTAAAGGTGTTCATAGTATTCTCTGATGGTAGTTTGTATTTCTGTGGGATCTGATTTGTATTTATTTGGCTGGATATGAAATTCTGGGTTGAAAATTCTTTAAGAATGTTGAATATTGGCCCCCACTCTCTTCCGGCTTGTCGGGTTTCTGCAGAGAGATCTGCTGTTTGTCTCATGGGCTTCCCTTTGTGTGTAACCCAACGTTTTTCTCTGGCTGCCCTTAACAGTTTTTCCTTCATTTCAACCTTGGTAAATCTGACGATTGTGTGTCTTGGGGTTGCTCTTCTCAAGGATTGTCTTTGCGGTGTTCTATGTATTTCTTGAATTTGAATGTTGGTGTGTCTTGCTAGGTTGGGGAAGTTCTCCTGGATAATATCCTGAAGATTGTCTTCCAGCTTGATTCCATTCTTCCCATCACTTTCAGGTACACCAATCAAATGTAAATTTGGTTTTCACATAGTCTCATATTTCTTGGAGACTTTGTTCTTTCCTTTTTATTCTTTTTTCTCTAATCTCATCTTCTTGCTTTATTTCATTAAGTTGATCTTCAGTCTCTGATATCCTTTCTTCTACTTGATGGATTCAGCTATTGATACTTGTGTATGTGTCATGAAGTTCTTGTGCTGTGTTTTTCAGCTCTATCAGGTCATTTATGTTTTTCTCTAAACTGGTTATTCTAGTTAGCAATTCATCTAACCTTTTTCAATGTTCTTAGCTTTCTTGAATTGGGTTAGCACATGCTCCTTTAGCTCGGAGGAGTTTGTTATTACCCACCTGAATCCTACTTCTGTCAGTTTGTCAAACTCTCCATCCAGTTTTGTTCCCTTGCTCGTGAAGAGTTATGATCCTTTGGAGGAGAAGAGGTGTTCTGGGTTTTGGAATTTTCAGTCTTTTTGAGCTGGTTTTTCCTCCTATTCATGGATTTATCTACGTTGGTCTTTGATGTTAGTGACCTTTGGATGGGGTTTTTGTGTGGATGTCCTTTTTGTTGATGTTGATGTTATTCCTTTTGTTAGTTTTTCTTCTAAGAGGCCCCTCCAGAGTCTGCTGGAGTTTGCTGGGGGTCCACTCCAGATCCTGTTTGCCTGAGAGGCTGCAGAGGCTGCAGAACAGCAAAGATTCCTGCCTGTTCCTTCCTCTGGAAGCTTCGTCTCAGAGGGGCACCCACCAGATGCCAGCCAGAGCTCTCCTGTATGAGGTGTCCATTGGCCCCTACTAGGAGTTGTCTCCCAATCAGAGACATGGGGATCAGGGACCCACTTGAGGAAGCAGTCTGACCCTTAGCAGAGCTCAAGTGCTGTGCTGGGAGATCCACTGCTATTTTCAGAGCCACGAGGGAGGGACATTTAAGTCTGCTGAAGCTGTGCCCACAGCTGCCCCTTCCCCCAGGTGCTCTGTCCCAGGGAGATGGGGGTTTTATCTATAAGCCCCTGACTGGGGCTGCTGCATTTTTTTTTTTTTTTTTCAGAGATGCTCTGCCCAGAGAGGAGGCAGTCAGGCCATAGCGGCCTTGCTGAGCTGCAGTGGGCTCCACCCAGTTTGATCTTCTAGGAGGCTTTGTTTACACCGTGAGGGTAAAACTACATACTCAAGCCTCAGCAATGGCGGATGTCTCTCCCCTAACCAAGCTCAAGCCTCCCAGGTCAAGCTCAGACTGCTGCTGCCAGCAAGAATGTCAAGCCAGTGGATCTTAGCTTGCTGGGCTCTGTGGGGGTGGGACCCACCAAGCCAGACCACTTGACTCCCTGGCATTTGCTCCCTTTCTGGGGGAATGAACAGTTCTATTTAGCTGGCATTCCAGGCACCACTAAGGTAGGAAAAAAAAAACTAGCTGGGTGCACTGGCTGATGCCTGTAATCCCAGCACTTTGGGAGGCCAAGACGGGCAGATCACAAGGTCAGCAATTCAAGACCAGACTGGCCAACATGGTAAAACCCCATCTCTAACTAAAAATACAAAACAAAAAAATTAGCTGGGCATGGTGGTGCGTGCCTGTAATCCCAGCTACTCTGGAGGCTGAGGCAGGAGAACTGCTTGAACCCAGGAGATGGAGGTTGTGGTGAGCGGAGATCATGCCATTGTACTCCAGCCTGGGTGACAGAGCAAGACTCCATCTCAAAAAACAAACAAACTCCTGCAGCTAGCTCAGTATCACCCAAATGGCTTGAAACCCAGGGTCTTGGTGTCGTAGGCACCGGGGGGAATCTCCTGGTCTGTGGGTTGTGAAGACCGTGGGAAAAGCACAGTATCTGGGCCAGAGTGCACTGTTTGTCATGGTGCAGTCCCTAATGGCTTCTCTTAGCTAGGAGAGGGAGTTCCCCGACCCCTTGTGCTTCCTGGGTGAGGCGCCACCCCATCCTGCTTTGGCTCACCCTCTGTAGGCTGCACCTACTGTCCAACCAGTCCCAATGAGATGAACCGGGTACCTCAGTTGGAAATGCAGAAATCACTCTCCTTCTGCATCGATCTTGCTGGGAGCTGCAGACTGGAGCTGTTCCTATTCGGCCATCTTGACAGCAATCCCTCTGGATACAAGTCTTTGGCAGAAATAATGTATTGTGAATAATTTCTCCCAGTCTCTGGCTTGCCTTTTTGTTTTCTTAGCAATGTCTTTCAAAGACAATTTTTATTTTGATGGAATCCAACTTACTTTTTCTTTATGGTTTCTGCTTTTTATACGAAATTTTTGCCTATGCCAATGTCACCAAAATTTACTCTTATGTTTTTCATGCCCGTTTGTTATTTGAGTATAATATGTGAAACATTGATCTTCAATTCAGAAGATTTGGATTCTTCTGGTTTCAAGTAGCACATAAAGACTTAAGCTACCTACACATAAAAGGGAGTTTGTAATAAGGTTTTGGGGGCTTTTCAAGTTTCCTAAAGGCAGGCATGCAGGTGGGTGTAAGAAACAGAGGTAGAAAGCCATTGGGAACCTAGAATGTCCTCTTTCTAGCCCTTGTTTTTCTTTCTTTGCGGACTGACTTGCTCTTACCACGTGGCTTCAGCTATTGCTCAAAGCCCATTCCACACTTTTAGGATAGGGGATCAGATTGACCTACCTTGGCATCAGGGTTCTACCCAGGTCCAATGAGTTATTAGAGGTCAGGATTCCAGAGTATAAAACATGCCTGGAAACTAGAGTCATTCCCAGAGAAGTGGGATGGCTTATGGTCTGCTCATCCACCCCCAAAGTTGCCACTGTTTTACCCCCAGTCCATTTTCCACTCCTGGTTTGATTTTCCACTTTTGATATGATTTTCTGACATGTCACTTCCAATATTACTTTGTGCCTACTCTGGATTTTTTTTTTTTTCTAATCTGCAGCTGTATTCTTCAGGACTTGTGGAATATGAGGATCATGATCCACTTAATCTTGATAGAAGTTTTGATGTGGAATCGGTAAAGAAAGAAATCCAGAGAGGAAGGAAGTTGGTAAGTGTAAATGATGTTATTTCATATACTGGATGAATAGACCCTCAGGGGAGGCATTCCAAAGGAAGTCTATTTGACTGATAAACCAGGGATAGAGAAGCATCTTGGAGAGCTGAAAGAAGTAGGACCTATACTGGAAAGCCCGATTCAACCCAACATTGAATTTTTTGAGACCTAGTTTTACTCTTGTTGACCAGGGTAGAGTGCAGTGCTGCAATATTAGTTTACTATAACCTCCGCCTCCTGGGTTCAAGTGATTCTCCTGCCTCAGCCTCCCAAGTAGCTGGGATTACAGGCATGGGCCACCATGCCTAGCTAACTTTTGTATTTTTAGTTTCACAATGTTGGCCAAGCTGGTCTCGAACTCCTGACCTCAGGTGATCCACTTGCCTTGGCTTCCCAGAGTGGTGGGATTACAGGTGAGCTACCACACCCGGCCAACATTTAATATTTTAAAATAAACTACCATATACTTTACCAATAAAATAGATCTGAGCTAGAACGCTTATGCTGTAGGTAGAAGTAAGTAAGTAGAAAGTAAGAAAGTAGAAGAAACGGACTTTTACAAAGAAGATACTTATTTTTTCACTTGATCAGAGAAAACATCTGCTTTCCAAGTTGATTGATTCAGTGGCTTGATAATGTCGTCAGGGGCCCAGGTTCTTCTCTCTGGTCTCCTGTCCCCAAAATCAGCTGGTCTCCTTGTGGTTATAGAGTGGCCACAGGCAGCAACTGGAGCATCAAGCTTTCTTATTCATATCCAGTGACAGAAAGGTCATCCCTACACATGGAATAACAGCCCTTCTGAAAGTTTAATTAGGATGCTCCCCTCTTTCTGCACCAGCTGCTGGGGGTGGCCATAACTAATCAGGGTCTACCCTGGGAGCAAGGTCAGCTCCCCATGGGTCGTAAGGGGCTATCTAGGAAGGTAAAAATGCTGAGAAGTCATCCCACTGGGCTTACTGCAGCAACTTCCTCTGAAGGACCCTACATATCTTAGCAAGCAGGACAGCAAGTGTGAGCACCTCACACTGACTACAACCACAAGGTTAATGCCTGGGGAAAAACATTTATTTAGGCCTGCAAGGCATCGGCATCAGCAGCATCCTCCATTAGGTATGTTGCATATATTGCTCTAGGTGAACTCCCAGCTATAGGTAAAATTATGCCCGTTTTGTAAATTGAAGAAATGGAAAGTTTAGAGTGAAAGGGAACAGTCCAGATGGAATTCTGAAAATTATGCTCTCTTAGGCCGTGTACACAATACTGTAGTAGGCCCTGAAGCAAGTCATAAAAATGGAGTGTGTGTGGGCTGGGCATGGTGGTGCATGCCTGTAATCCCAGCACTTTGGGAAGCCAAGGCAGGAGGATTGCTTGAGCCCAGGAGTTTGAGACCAACATGGTGGGACCCTGTCTTTACCAAAAAAGAAAAATAATTAGCTCAGCACAGTGGCATATACCTGTAGCTGCAGCTACTTGGGAGGCTGAGGTGGGAGGATTGTTGAGCCTGGAAAGTTGAGGCTGTGGTGAGCTATGATCACACCACTGTACTCCAGCCTGGGCAACAGAGGAGACTCAAATTAGAAAAAAAAAAAAAAAAAGTATGTGGATCCTGCTCTTAGTGTCTATGCTATACTAATTAATACTTGGCAAGACTGGCCACTGACATCATTAGTGCTGACAGGGCCACGTCCCTAGGATTTCAGGTGTGATGAGATGGGTGAACAGGGAGCCTCTCTGATTAGAAAGTAGCAGACAGACCTCAAGTGAAATATTTTTGTTGCTCTTCACTAACTGGATTTGAGTGGGGAGACATAGAGTTAAAGAAAGCTCTGAGAAATTGTAGTGGTCATCCAGATATGAAAAGACACAGGCTAAGAAATGAGGGCAGTTGACTGGAGGCACTAATATTTGGAGGGAAGCAGGTACTTGAGGGTTTCTGCAGACCTTGGGATGTAGACTTCCCTACTGGGAAGGCTTTGGGATGGGTTGGAAGTGGAGGATAAAGGACAGAAGAGAGAGAAGTCACCTGAGGGTAATAGTTAACTACTCACAGCATTTATGGAAGCCTTGGAATATGTGGGCAGATATACAGCACACACCCATGGGAGGGACAGGCCAGTGCTGTGGTGGTTTGAGTACAGCTGGGCAAGTGCCTTAAGGGCAAGCAGCAAGGGCTGTCAGCAAGCAGGCTCCTACCTAGGATTCAGACTACCACAATAGTATGTCAGAGTAAAGTGGCCGAAAAAGTACACAGTCCTTCCCTACACACACACACACACACACACACACACACACACTCTCTCTCTCTCTCTCTCTCTCCTTCCTCTCTCTCTCTCTCTCTCCCCCCCCCCCCATCTAAACCTGCTCATTCTTCATCCCAATAAACAGCACTGCTCATTCTTCATCCCCAATAAACAGCACTGTCATTATCCGTTTGCCCACGCCAGAAGTCTAAGGACTCTCTTTTCCTCATCAGCCTCCCAGCCCAACATCAAGCCCATGGGCATTAACGCCTAGATGCATCTTGCATCCATCTGCCCACTTCATTCAATGTCAGTAATCACCATAGTGAAGTCACTGATCTTGTTGTCTGAGCGAGTACTGACACTTGCCCCACTGTCTCTCCTGCCATCCCTATCCCAGCTCATAGTTCTCCACCCAGCAGCAGCCCAGCAGCCTGAATGATCTTTCAAAAATGTTAATCAGTTTATGTTCCCCTTGCACAAAGATAAAACCCAACTCCTTACTCTGGCATGTAAGCCCCACATGATCTAGCCCTTACTTACCCCTCTGATCATCCCTGAGACTTCCCCGTGCTCACCTTGCTGCCCCAACAGCACTGGCCATCTGTATACTGATGTATTTTTAAATGAATAAATGTTTATTAGCCACTTGTATTTTTTCTTCTATAATTTGCCAGTTACCTTTTTTCCGCAGGTTATAAGAATCTTAGTACTTTATCTAATATGCTGCAAAGATTTTTCTTTCAATCTTTTCCTTGTCTTTTAAATATTTTTAATGCCCTCATTATAAAAATGGAAGTTTAAAATATTTGTATAGTAGGCGGTCATTTTTTTGGAAACCAATTCTCCCTCTGTCACCCAGGCTGGAGTGCAGTAGTGCAGTCACAGCTCGCTGCAGCCTTGATTTCCTGGGCACACGCCATCTTCTGGCTTCAGCCTTTCAAATAGCTGGGACTACAGGACTGAGTGTGCCACTATGCCCAGCCAATTTTAAAAATTTTTTGTAGAGATAAGGTCTCACTGTATTGCCCAGGCTTGTCTTGAACTCCTGGGCTCAAGCAATCCTCCTGCTTCAGCCTCCCGAAGTACTAGGATTACAGGCATGGGCCACCACACCCAGCCTGTCAAAAGTTTTCATTTGTGACTTCTGGGTTTTCTTCCTGCCTTAGACAGCCTTCCTTGCCTCCATACCATGCTTTTTTCTTTCTCCTATATTTCCTAATCTTTAAGCATTTTTTGTTTAACATTATCTAGTTAGGTCTTTAATCCATGTGCAACTTATATTCAGGAGTATATTTTGAAACGGATTTAACTTTATTTTTTCCTATATACACAGCCAGTTACCCTCCTCCCAAATTAAATGATCGTTCTTGTAATCTTTGATTTGAAATTCCACCTTTATCATAACCTTATTTCTTGCCTATATTTGAATTTCCTTTAACTGCTTCTGTGCTTGCTTGTGCCGATTCTGGGCTATGGCATGAGTGACCTCCTGTTCTGTAAGGCAATTTCAGTGTGCCCCCATGTCCTTCAGCCAGAGTGTCACGCAGATCAGCCTTGGTCCTGGCTGGATTCCCCTCAACCCATTAGGCTGCTGTGGCAACACATTGCCTAGCCATCATGACACTACTCTCACATATAAAATACCAGATAAATACAAGCCGGGGATCAAATAAACTGAACTAAGAAAAAATTGTTAATACTCCAAGTTGTAGCATTTTAAAAAATATTTGGCCCTACTACCTAGATTCCAAGGAGGTTTCCCTTACTTTATCTCACATAATCCTCAAGAGCTACTTTGTAAGACAGATACTATCACCCAGGGAAGGATCTGAGTCTGAAAGAGAAATCACACCACTCTTAGTGGCACAGCTGGCAGCCACTCTTGCCTGTCTCAATGTCCCTAATTTGCCAGCTCTGCTTTTTTGAAAATTCTTTTTAAAAGAGTTTTTGTTTGTTTTTAAACATTTTCTGCTTTTAATCAGATCATTACAAAACTGTCTGTCTAGGCATTCCGGTTAGCTGAGGTTTTGCTGAAATTCCCAAATGAGCAGCCAAATGTTACGTACTCTACCTAGTGTAACAGGATGGAATCTTGCTGATGATGCCCAGGACAAAATGCAGGGCTCCTGGAACTTAAATAACATTTAATGATATCTTTGAATTTTAACAAATAACAGGTACTTAGTAAAATCTATT